CAGAATCAGCGCACTTTCTGTTGCACAACGTGTTGCGGAAGAACGTGGTGAGACATGTGGAACCAGCTGCGGTTATATTATACGTTTTGATAATATGACAAGTCCTAGTACAAAGATTGTTTATATGACAACCGGTATACTACTGCGTCGCTTGCACACTGATCCACAGCTAAATGGTGTTTCGTGTATCATTGTGGATGAAGTACACGAAAGAGATGTGGAGACGGATTTTTGTCTGTTGCTGCTTCGTGACAGGCTAATAGAACAACAAAGAAATAATCAACTATACAAAAATCATGTGAAGGTGGTGGTGATGTCTGCCACTGTACAGATAGAGAAGGTAGCGTCGTATTTTGTCTGCGTATGTGGTGGAAAAGCTCCGCCTATTATTAGCATCCCGGGAACGTTGTTTCCTGTAGAGGAATGTTTTTTGGAGGAGGCCTTAAAATGGACTCATTTGCCACCTTCTGCGGTCCCTGCTATCTCCATGTTGGCTAATGTTTCAGAAAAAAAAAGCAAAAACCACAATTCAGAGGATGGGAATGATAGCTCTATTTTTGAAAAGATTAAGGCTACTGTTTTTGGGGAAACAGATAATGATCCAGAGGTTTTGGTGCCTTATGATCTTATATTTAAGCTAATTTCTTATATTCATGCCAGTTCCCATGACTTATCAGAAAGTATATTGGTATTTCTTCCGGGATGGGCTTCTATAAGCCGAGTAAATACTATGATTCAACGCTCTCCTATTGCTCGTGAGTTGTCCGTTTTACAGCTTCACTCGAGCTTGACGGCAGCTGAGCAGCAAAGAGTTTTTTACCGACCTCCTAAGCGGTTTCGAAAAATTGTACTTTCCACAAATATTGCAGAGGCAAGTGTAACTATTGATGATATTGTCTACGTTATTGATAGTTGTCTGACAAAAGGTACATCTTACGATGCACGTGGAAATACCTCAGTTCTTAAGGCAACATTTATCAGTAAAGCAAATGGTATGCAGCGTCGAGGTAGAGCTGGTCGTTGCAGAGCAGGTGTGTGCGTTCATCTTCTTCCTAGGTCTGCATATGAAAAACTTCCCGAATTTCTTTTACCGGAAATTATGAGATCTTCACTGGAGGACGTCTGTTTACAAGTAAAAGCCTTGAAACCAGATGAGGTTTGTGCAAAAGTATTGAGCCGTGCTATGGATCCTCCACCAGCAGATTCCACAGAACATGCGGTCAGGTTTTTAAAGGATATGGGTGCCTTTACTTCTGAAAAAGAGCAAATGACAAATCTTGGTCGAGCCCTCTCAAAACTTCCTATTCATCCTCTTTTGGGTAAAATGCTTTTGGCGGCGGCATGTCTGGGAGTATTGGAGCCAGTTGTAACAATTGCAGCATATCTTTCCGGAAAATCACCATTTATTAAACCCTTACCGCATCAGAAGAACGCCATGCGAAATGCGGTTCAATCCATTGACAATGGCCTACTATCAGATCATCTCAGTGTTATGAAGTTATTTGATGAATGGAAGAAAAGCAATTGTAGTGCTGATTACGCGATGCAAAATTTTGCAGATCAGACTGTATTGCGTTCGATGGATCGCATCCGGAAACAGTTGTTACGTCTTGTGAAAGACTCTTCATTATTAAGAAAGGTTGAAGACCCTATGCGAATGGCTTCTCGACATTCGAGTAACTTGGGGCTAATCCGGCTGGTGGCTCTTTGGTCTCTTTACCCTCGTATTGCGTCAGTGGAGTATCGAGCGAATCGTAACAGGAAAAGGCCAGAGATTTTTTGTTGGGATAATAAAGTTGCCCAATGTGCAATGGGGTCTGCGCTGGCATTTAAAAATCGAGACGATTTTCGTGACAGGGCCTTTGTTTTTTATCATGAACGGATGTATCTTGAGGCAAATTTAACGGTTTTTGATGCCAGCGCTGTGACACCTGTGGAGGTAGCCTTGTGTCTTCGTGAGTTTGCGCTTCGGCCTTTGACTGATGTTCCTCCAGCATTTCTCACTGATGATGAAAGCAAAATGGCACCTGCATTTCCATTTGTTTTGGAGAGAGAAGAAGAGGCAAAGGATCTTGCGGTATTATTTTTTGATGGTGATAAGAAACTGTACGTGACATCCCTACCAGTTGGCTTGCTATTGCGTGATGTTAGAGAATGTATGGACTATTATCTTGCCCTGTCTATAAAGGAAGTTAGAGCTGATCTTTTTCCTGAGGATTTGATACGTGTTTTGGCGTACGTTGTTGGATATCCTTTTAGTGACGAGGTGAGCGCAATTGACAATAACACAAGTGATAAGCCCGTTGTTACATATGGGGAAGAAGAATCATTAGAACCGACAACAATTGATTGCGGAAGCGCCCAATTAAATGATATTTCTGGTGATGAAGATGATGCACCTGAAATTTTTATGGAGGATTTTGAGGATCTTCAGATGACTGAGGAAGAAATTCAGAGAGCGATTACTGTATTTGGGGAATTGGCCATTTTAAATCGCCAAGGTGGTTTGCGTCTGCTGGGAGCGTTTGAAAAGGGAGTACAACTGCGACAGGTTGAAGCTGATTTAATTAGAGGGCCAGAAGGTGATTTTGTTTCAGAGGAAAGGGAACAGAAGCTGAGGGATGAAGATGCTAAAAAATCTGATGAATGTGATGATGAGGAGGATGAGGATGACGACATTATCATTGCCAAAGCAGGTGAATTGGACATAGACGATAACGAATATTAACTGAATGACACTGTGTGCGTCTAAATTACACTTCAGGAAACCAGCAATTTTTTTCTCTTAGTCCTCCTTTTTATAACCTTACTTTTACAGGGCGCTTTTTTCTAATTTTTGGTAAAAATGTAGACAATGACGATTTGTGCTTGTTGACTTTTTTTTTTTTCGGGGGGATGGCTTTCATTTTTTTTTTTTTTTTGTCTCCGGTGAATTTTCGATGGGTCGTGACGGAGCCCCCCGGAAGGAGGTGGATAATTTTTTTTTACTTTTTTGTTCCACCGACCCCTTTTTGTTGTTGTTGTTGGACACAACTTACCCCGGGGTTTCCGGGTCGTTGGTTGGAGAGAGAGAGAGAGAGAGAGAGATGTACAAATGAGATGCTAATTCGTAAGTAGTGGTGGGCGGAGATAAGGTTTTTTGTTTATGTATGCGGCGTGCGTTTTTTTTTTTTTTTTTTTTTGAGCTGCACTGGCCACTGTTTTGTTGGCCCGTGTGTCTTTCTGTGTGAACTATTTTTTTCTTTTTAATTTTAATTTCAAATGCATTGCAATACCAAAAAAAAAAAAAAAAAAAAAAAAGATGTTGAAGTTGATTCCTCCTCTAAGACGCAAGCGCATCTGGAAGGCGTCCTCATAAATTGCACTTGGGATTGAACGTCGGTGGAGGTCTGGAACGCTAAAACAAAATGAGCGCCTCAATAGAATCCAAAATGTCTTTTTGGGTGCACCCAAACAATCATGATGCAGAGACATACAAGTTGTATATAAATCGTCTTGTTTTTATAGATACTGCAGAGGATAGTAGACGATGGTTGGCCCGTGCAAAAAAACAGTGGGGGTTTGATCAGCCCATCGCCATTCGCGTGATGAACGAGTCGGAACACCTGGGCACTACAACTCCCCAAATGATTGGGAGTCACGCTGGTTGGACGGGTATTAGTTGGACGGGGGACGCGAATGATGGGGTGGGCATTGACGTCCCCAATCATCAGGGGCCAATGTTGGTGTTGGAGGTCGTAGGGGGAAAGAGCACACTCTCAATATACGGAACGGGGTTAATCAATAGCTCCGGAATGGCAACAGAGAAACGACAGTATGCCAAATATTGCGTTCATCTATTTCCAACTCAGACCACTTTTGATTCGGAGACGGTGTTTGCCGTTGTTGAGGCGGAGATACGCAGCTGCGCGTGGGATGGACGTCATGGAGATGAATTTGCTCCATTGGAGTACAACTTTGGTTCTGTGCGAGTGTCCACATTGGATTTCTACTTTCCTTCCTTTATGTTGACTGGAACAGGAGAGTATATCGTTTCTAATTTGGTTTGTGCAATGAATATGACGGAAAACAGTGCATTAGCCATGCAATTAGTACCCCTCATGGATGCACGTGATTACATTTCGGTAGAGCCTGCCCAAGTTATCACGGTAAAACCTCAACAACGAGTATATTTTACTGCGACATGGAGTATTGCTGAACGGGCATGCATGAAAGAACTTCAAGTGCAGCTTGTTGTTAATGGTTCACAGCCTCCTTCCGCCCCTATTAATATTAGTGTTCATAATTGTCCTCCCCAGCTAAAGTCAACGGACACACCGTACCACTACTGGTTAAACACAACATGTGTCACAAACAGACAGTTTTCTCTATCACAGGAGTTTTCATTGGTGTTTGCACTTTTGCCTGTGTTTCGCTTCGTCTTGAATGGTCGGGTGGCCGGACTGGGTGCGGAGGGCGTTATTGTTGCTCTGGATAAGGACAAAGGGGAAAATGTCTTGGTGCGTGCAGACGGTGTTCCTGTCGTTAATGTATTGAGTGCTGGTTTATCGACGTCATTGTTTGATTCAAGCTTTGAAAATAATGCTTGGGCACAGGCGGAAAAAAAAGCATGGAGTATGCCGGATGATGGAAAGCAATTTGCACTCGATACACTCTCTATGAATCTCTTAGAAAAGACATGCCAGTGTACTATTCATCTCGGAACTATACGCGGCTTCCCAATGGTATACGAGGTATCGACAGGTATCTCTCCTTCTTTCCAAGTGAGCATTACGCTACTGGATCAAAAAGGCTGGCAAGTGGTGAAAGGGGAGACGAAGGCAAGGTATCAAAGCGCAAGCGGCAGTTTGCGCTGGGATGACCAGCTTGTTCTAAGAAAGTGGCCAGGTGCCAGTTCAAAGCAATTTGCACGACTGAATCTTACAGAGGTTCGTCCGCGAGATGGTGATGAGACACCAATTGGCGCAGCATTGGTGTCGCTTTACCGCCTTGACCGCACACGTCTTCATGTAGGCATCCAATTGGCCTTTCATGTGTACGAGACCTATTCTTTGTATGATACCTTGCATTCCTCGAGTCTCCTCATGACAGACGCATTCATCACTTTCTCTGAACTTCCTTTCTAACTGTGGGATTCAGGGACAACAATGGTTATTTTTTTTTGCTTACTGGAGAAATGAAATCACACAAACAAAAAAACAAGCAAACAGAAGGAAATGCGTCCAAATGATAATAAAAAGATGGTTTGGCCGTCTACAAGAGAGAATATGTGTATTTCGCTTTGCAGCTTTTTGTTTCCTTTTTTTTTTTCTTTACTATTTTTATACACGCAAATGCGATTCTATTGCCACTTATGTAATGCATATATATATATATATATATATCTGCCTTTCCCTCTGTTTTTTTATTTATTTTGCATTTTTATTGAGCTAGTCAAAAAGAGGTCCCAAATGGTGAAGGCGAACTATATTCGCGCAGGGCGCTTGGTGCGCATCATCCGCGGCCCCCGTCAGGACCGCGTCGGCGTTGTTGTTGACATCATCGACGGCAACCGTGTGCTTGTGGAGAACCCCGCGGACAAAAAGATGTGGCGCCACGTGCAGAACCTGAAGAACGTTGAGCCGCTGAAGTTCAGCGTGGAATTGAGCCGCAACTGCAGCACACGGACACTGAAGAATGTGCTCGCGGAAAAGAAAATTCTTGAGAAGTACGCCGCCACGAAGTCCGCTAGACGCATTGCAGCAAAGAGGGCGTTTGCAAGGTCGACAGACTTTGAGCGCTATCAACTGCGTGTCGCCAAGCGCTCTCGTGCCTTCTGGACGCGCAAGGTTTTTGACGAGAATGACAAGAAGAAACCCGTCTCTTGGCACAAGGTTGCTCTCAAGAAGCTTCAGAAGAACGCCAAGAAGGTTGACAGCAAGCCAGCCGCCAAGAAGCGCATTGAGAAGGCCCGCGCTGCTCGCAAGGCCAAGGCCGCCGCCGGTAAAAAGTAAGAAAAGACAGCTGGTTCGTGGTGCCACTCTTTGACATGCATGATGAGTTTGAGCTTCCTCATTTTATTTTGTTATTTTATTTTCTAATCATTTTGTCTTTTTCCTCTTTCTGCGTCATTTTCTTCTGCACCCTGAGCTCCTGACTCTCTTTTTTACACATGTCACAATGGACAATTTTTTATCCATTTTCTTTCCTTGTCTTTTTTTCTTTTTGTTTTTTTTGACAAAATGGAAATGAACTTGAATTCACCCAATTTTTTTTTTTTTTTTTTTTTGTACAGTTCTACTTCTCTTGTGACCCACCTGAGCCTGCATGTTGCTCATTGGTCTGACAGGTGGCATTGCGTGTGGGAAGTCCACGGTATCGACGATGCTGGAGAAGCAACATCATCTTACGGTAATTGACGCGGACCGTGTAGTGCGGGAGCTGCAACGC